TTTTTGCCAATTCACCTTTGTTTAGAGACCAGAATAATAATTTCCTAAAGTCAAATTTATTTGAATCTGATAATGTACATTTACCAGCAAAACCAATTTACACATACATGTACAGCAAGTTTTCTCATATTTCACATCTATCCATATAGAAGTTTTGAATTTTGCACTCTGCAGATAAATTCATTACAGTCTTAGCAGTCTCGACAAGCCAGTTAATTTTTGAATAGATTCAGCACTGAGCCAGTCCACTTTATAGTAGGGGTGAGTAGGTACACATCACTGCAGGGCAGTCCACTTTAAAGTAGGGGTGAGTAGGTACATCACTGCAGGGCAGTCCACTTTAAAGTAAGGGTGAGTAGGTACATGTATACATCACTGCAGGGCAGTCCACTTTAAAGTAAGGGTGAGTAGGTACATGTATACATCACTGCAGGGCAGTCCACTTTAAAGTAGGGGTGAGTAGGTACATCAATGCAGGGCAGTCCACTTTAAAGTAGGGGTGAGTAGCTATAGGCACATCATTGCAAGCAAGTCCACCTTCAAGTTATAGCAAGAATGAACAGGTTATGAAGTAACCATAGTTTGTCTACCAAAGAGTTCTGATGTAACTGAACTCAAAAACATTGGTATGCTATCTTGGTTTATTAGGAACTGTTCCACCAGGTCTGTTAACGTTGATGAGAATTGCGACTCCAGTAACTGTATCTCACCACAATCTGTTGACTGCAAACAAATAATTAGTCAAACACTGGATGAGCGGATGACAAACCTACTGATCAGTACGACAGTATCAACATTAAACAAAGAAAAAAACAGTGTAAACTGGCCATCTTGTACGAGACATGTGCATATCAAGTATACATCAGCAATTTTGCCTGGAACATGTGAGCAACATGTTAACTTTAAAACTATGGTTATGTCTTGATTTGAGCATGGAGATTTCAAGGTGACAACCCATCATGCTTGTCAAGTTGTCTGAATTATTTTAATGATATTGATAATTATATTTATGGTGATCAATGTATTGTATTTAAGTTAGAACTTACCCTAAACATGAGAACATCGTCTTGACTATCTGCATACATAGACATTAACATATAGTGGTTATCTTTAGGATTGTCAATCTTATACCCTGTCAGTCGATAACATGCTTCACGGTATTCTTGAATCTTTTTATAAAAAACTTCTTTCAGTCTTTGGTTTCTCAGCTCTGAGGATTTCAACTCTTTCTTTAAATCTGTTGAAAGAATAGTAAGAACGAACATGGCTATGAGGACAACAATATATGCTTATTCCATAAATCACAGTATAGTTCCATGACAATAGCAGTCATTATTAAACTGGGTAATATCTATGTACTTAGGGGTCGAATATAAAGCTTGTCCAACTGTCCCAGACAGGAAGATTTTAGCTGGGACAGGTAAATGAACAAACTACCTGTCACAAACAAGGAGTGCGCATGCGTGAGTGAACGAGTTATGAAGCCTGATCGGCTCCACAAGAATTGAATAATTATACAGGAATATCTCTCCAACATCAAAGTTTGAATGCAGTATGGCGAGTAACAAGTCTAGCAGCAAAGGGAAAGAGAGAAAACTCGATCAGATGATACAAGCAACGGGGAGAACAACGAGAAGGAACACACCTGACCGGGAAAAAGATAAAGTTGGCGGACAGACAGGCGACATTGATGGGATGTTGGACCTACCCACTGATCAAAAAGTAACGATTATTTTGAAAAAGATATTCGAAATTAAATCAGAGGTAGAAAAGCTAGAGCCATTAACTCGGAAGATTGAAGAAATAGAAGGGAAAGTTTCGGAAAATCGAGAAATCAGTTGAAAACGCGCATGAGAAAATAGAAGAAGGGATGAAAGACGCCGCTATGAAAACAGAAGACAACAACTCAAGGAAACTGAAATAGAAATAAAAAAGATGAAATGAAAACAAGACGATCAGGAAAATCGAGGCAGAAGAATCAACATAAACTTCAGAAATATACCAGAAGGAGCGGAAAAAGGAAGCAACGGAAGTGTGGACTTTATACGTAAATTTATAGTGGAGCACATGGGAATTGAAGAGACGGCAAATGTAGCAATACAGAGGGCGCACAGAGACCCACCATTTTTGAATGCAACTAGAAGAAACGTAGCAAGAAACCGGCCCATAAAGGTAGCCTTCGTGAGTGCAGGAGAAGCAAGGAACATACTAATGGCGGCACCACGAAAATTGCGAAACCACCCATACAAGGGAAATCACATTTTTGTAACGGATGACGTGAGCGCTGTGGTACAAGCGGAACGTAGGCGGCTGGTTGAGTACAAAAAGTTATTCAAAGCTAAAAATTTACACATACTAGACGCGGTCTGTCCCATTGGATGAAGTGTATGTGAATAGTATAAATGAAAAAATTAAGAATTGGATAGAAGATATAAAAGGAAAAAATCCAGGCCTCATCTGGGACTATGTTGAATTTAAAATAAGAAAGTTTTCAATTAAATACAGTAAGAAACAAGCTAAAAATCGCAAAGAGAAGACAAAAGAATATGAAAACAAAGTTAAAAGTCTGGAAGAAATTGTTCAGAGGCGTCGAATGAAATAAATTTTAATGAACTAGAGGAAGCCAAAACGGAGTTGGATAAAGAATACAACTACATCACAGAGGGGCAAATTATACGATCAAGGACTAACTGGTTTGAAAAGGGGGAGAGAAATAATAAGTATTTTCTTAATTTAATAAAAACAAACACAAGCAAATCATCAATTAAAAAAATTAAGAACATAGTTGAACTCTGGTGACCTTGCCCTTTGTTATATAATATAATTCCCTTTATCATAGTTTGTTTCAATATAAATATGCATTGTCATAATTAATTTTGAATACAAACAAGTTTTGGGGTTGAACCAACAATGGGGAATCAGTCTACCGAATGTCCTTAAAAAATGTAAATATCTTACAAAAACATTGGTGCCTTATTTGTTTAATTATTTTAAGGAAGATAATTTCCAGCTTTATTGAAAGTAATTGAGATATTTTAGAATAAAAACAAATGTCTCATTGCAAAAAAAACCCTTAAAACATGCAAGATAACAGAAAAATTTAGCTGGCTTTAGTCCAAGTATTTTGTACAGGTGTCTGTCAAAAATGAATGATTCACTGAGACAAATATGAACTGCCTCATTGTGTGACTACTGTATTATATGAAAAGTAAAAAAAAACACCCTTTATGAATAGCTATCATGTTGCAAGCTCTGCTTTGTATGCAAATCAACTTAAATAGTTGGTGTCCAGTGGAGGGAGAAGTCAACAGTACTGTTGCCTCCTGAGAAACTACATCTTCAAACACTGCAATCTCTGAAGTGCGTTTTTAAACTAGTATTATAAAAACTCTATCATTCTGTTCTAATAGCTGAAACATATTCCTGTGAGTTTTCATTTGTCAAATGAACTGTTTGTCAAATACAGAATACATAGATTTTCTCAATTTTTGCATGATATTTTCATACAGGACATCTGTTGTTCAAACTCAGGGAAGACTTTATACTCATGAATAAGGTGACCAAGTTTGATAAAGTTTGGAATAGAATTAGTAAAGTTATTATGCACACAATAACAATTATTAACGACGACGACAACGACAACGACGACAACAATGACAACAATGACAACGCCGGACAAAATTTTTCCCTTAATATACCTTTCCCTTCCATCTTTGATGGTACGGGCAAGGTAAAAAATGATATAATTATAGAAAATCAAAAGGATATCCACTGTGAAATTAAAAGTTTTTATGAAAACCTTTACAAAGAAAAAAAGTTAACAAATCGAATGTCAAATGATTTCCTAAATGACAAGGTACCTAATCTGAATGAAAGGTCGAAAGCACATTGCGAGGGCCTGTTCTCTAGAGGGGAAATTCATACAA